TAATGACAAGGAATAAGAGAAAAAAGAACCTCAAAAAAAAAGTAAGAATAATTACCATAAGTACAGACCAAGAGTGGTAAAGTTGAAAATGTATGAAGAGGACTGTCTCTATCTCTCCTTTCCCCACCCCATGGCACTCTTCAGAGTGGTGCAGAATTCACTTCATTTTCACCATTTCTCCTTTACCCCCAGAAGAGCATCTCACTGCAGCTCAGTCACAGCAATTCTGCAGGATTTGGGATTTTCGTTGTGTTGCACCACAGTTTTTGGGGCACAGACAGTGTGACCTGTTTTGGGAAGTGGCCCTGCGTGTTTCTGGTGGCCACAAAGCAGCAGCAGCACGACAAGAGGTGTGGAGAAACCAAACACAAAACTAGTGCTGGTTGTTTGATCTGGATAGCTGGGCCAAACACTTCCACTGGGAGATCTCTCCTCAGTGCTCGGGGAAATCATTGTTTCTCCCTTTGGATGGAGAATTGTGTTTTGTGTGGGTGCCTCGTGTAGAGTCCCCTGAGAGGATTAGGTAAAAGAACTGTTACCAAGGACATGTGAAATTCACTTCATCTTCTGCACCAGTGACTAAGGATGAAGTGATTCTGAGACAGATGATTATGTCTTGGGGAACAGTCAGCTGTACAAAAATTCTTTACACCTCCTTTTCTCCACTATCCACTTCCTGCCCTTTGTTGTCCAGAGCAAACTGTTGGTTTTTTTTATTTTCTTCAGTTAAAGCCAGCTCAGCTTTTTTAACTAGCCTGGTGTTCACCTTTACTTTCTTACAGACCTTTCTGTGACAGTAACCCATGAAACTTCTTGGGTTTGTCTGCTTTGCAGGCTCCAAGAAGTCTCCACCATCACTATGGAAGATGGTGCTCCAAATGGAAACGAGAAGGGGTGATTTCTGATTTTCACTGCTTTTCTTGGTGAATGACTGATACAGTGACCTCACCATAGGGAATGGTTCCTGTTTTCTCTGGGTTGTTATAGACATCTATTAATCAAAAGGAGCCCGAGTCTGCAAGTGCCAAAAAGATACAGCACTTCAGGGAAGTCTTGAGCTTTGACTATTTGCAGGGGTAGAGAATAAGAGAAATTCCCAGAATTTCTCTTCTCTAGAGAAGGAAGACAGAATTTTTAGGTGACTAGATGCTCAACATACTGTTTAAGGAGTAGGTATCAGCTGCAGACAGCCTCATCCAGTGGAATCATATCCTGAAGAATGAAATAACACAAATACCCTCCTGCCTCCCCCCTTTTTTTGTGTGTCCCTGCACAGGGAATCTCCTCAGTGGTCATTATTTCTCATCTTCTGTGCAATTCGTGTTCTCTTTGGCTCATCACCCACCATGCTTTCCCACCTGGAAGTGATTTTGATGGAGACTCTAAAATTAAATTACTGCTGCCTTTTTTTGTGAAAGATCTTCACAACTTAGGTGCCTGAAACACCCTTAGCTAGTAGATGAATAACTGACAATTACATTGTTTAATTCAGAAACATGCAGAAGTAGTATTTTTATCAAATCCCACGTGGTAGAGGCCACAGCAAAGTTCATCTTCCCATGTACTGATCAACACATGAGAATTTGTGCCTTGACTTTGTGAGCCTTGACTTCCATCATGCTACCTAATGCAGGATGTGAGAATGGATATACCAGGAAAAAGGACTCTTAATTTGACTTTCCTGGGTCAACTTGAGTGCAGAAAGTGGAAGATGCCTTGGGGAGGTCTGGTCTGTTTCACGTGAGACTGGAAAGAACCTAAAATGTGTCCAGAAAAAAAATTTAAAAAAAAAATATATATATATAAAAATATTTTATATATATATATATATATGCTGCATTTAATCTAAACAAAATAATTAATGTTTTAGCTTAAGGGATTAAAAGAATATAGTCAATTATCTGCTCTGATCTATGTATGATAATTCTAAATGGGGTGGCAGCAAAGAAATTAAGGTAGGGAATGTTTATTCCTCTAGTCCTTCTTTTTGTTTTCATTATTTTATTTAAAGTGTCAACATTTCTGGTATCAGGAGGTGTAAGTGTAAAGTAACAAAGTGGAGATAAGATGTTAGCAAATGCTACTTGGTAGGGAGTATTAGGTCAAAAGTCTGATCTCTCTGATTTGCAACTGCTGCATGTGTGTTATCCAGTATTGCAGTATCCATTTACTTGCATTTTGTTCTGATGCATCTAGACTTAGAAACATATGAAATATGCATATTTTTATTTTTTTTTTAAAGTGAAAAATAGTCACGTAATTATTACTATCTGGGTACTGGTTCTGTCTCTGGGAGGTTGATGTTTAGGGTAGATGCAACTAGCTGTGTTTTTCTAGATGTGTATGGCAACCTGCTGATTGCTGTCTCACAAGAATAAACTCTAAACCTTTCCAGCTGTTCTTAATCTGGCCCCTTAACCTTTAAAAAAACCAGAGGCTTTCCATTCCTCCGAGCCAAACTTTGCTAACAATATCTAGGTTGTTTTCAAACCAAGCTTCAAACATAAAAATGACTAATAAATCCATATTCCATAATAGTTAGGCTGGAAAACTATTATTTTAAGACAGACTCAGTTTTTATGACCCATTTCTAATAAAAATCCCAAGTATGCTTCACTAATGCTACCATTTCAGACACTCAGATCCCCGGATGACAGGCATGATATCCAGATAGATGCACCAATAAATATGTAAAGGCTATAAATCTGTCTCAAATTAGTGATTTGTAGATGTGCAAGGGGGGGGGGGAAAGAGGGCTGGGAAATTCTGTTTTCTAATCTGTTCGTTTCCTGACTCTTAATGCTCTGTCACTTCACAGCTGGTGATTGTATTTCTCCGTGGTTTGTATTAAGTGCTAAATACTCCATGCTCTTCGGGACACCCGGGGCTTTGCACAGACTTAGTCCGCACCTGATCCCGCTCGTGTCAAGACCAAATTTTGGGCAGCCCAGGGGCAGGCCCAGAGTCTGCCCCGAGCAGAGAGCGAGGCAGGTTTTGAGGAAGGAAACAGCGGCTTTTGGATGGAGCGACAGCCTGGAAACCCACAACGCTTCGCAGGACCCTGGCCCGCTGGCTTTGGGATTCCAGCCGGGGCTTCCTATTAAAACAACCACACAACCCGTAGCGTGATAAATAGGTGTGATTCGTGCTGATAAAATTGAAACAGTAATCAATATGGATATAGTAATGAATATTTGGAGATAACAAAATGGTTAAAAAAGGTAAAAAGCTAGGAAAGCGGAAGGGAAGGGTGCGCTCTCTCCATTATCTTCTGGAGATGTTCAAGGCAGGAAAAGGAGTCAGGTAAAGTTTGCTAAAATTAACTGAAAGAGGGAAAACTTGGGTGGAAATCAGAAATATGTTAATTTGCAAGATTTATTATATTAGCTTATATAATTTTGGTTTTGGCATACATGGTATTAGCTTGGTGCGCATGTGTAACCCAAAGGTGAAATAAAGGACACCTGAGGAAGAGGAGCAGCCTTCATCTAGACGACCCCCAAAGAGTGGTGACCCCCTAAAAGATGGTGGCGCGTGCGCGGTGAAGATGAAGATGAAGCTGGAGACACCAGTGTGATGAATCGAAAATAGGAGGGGATGCTGATAATAGACAGTATAAAGGGGGGAATTTTGGGCTTGGCAAGCTTGTCCGTGAGGTGGCAGGGGTCCCAAGGCCCTCCGTACCCCGCGGTAATTTTGCTTATACGTCATTACCCGAACCAGACTATATTTTATTATAACCAAATTATACTGCCCATTTATTAAATGTAACTATTTCATTTAAATTTTATTAAAATTATTGTTATATTTAATTTCGCTTGACCTTACCTTTGTGAATGGATAATTGGGCAAACATAACAGTAGTAACCACTCATAAACATCCATCTTCCTGACTCTTTTACGGCCTCGTAGTTGCCCCCACCGCGACAGGCGGATTGATGCCCTGGCTGCCAGCGGCCGGGAGCTGCTCCGGGGATCTCGGGGCAGGGCCGGCCTGCCCTTCCCCGGGACTCGCTCCGGCGGCTCTGGAAGCGGCAAAACCCCCGCTTTTCCTCCTTCGTGATCGCCTCCAACACGCCGCTCCGCCGCCGGGCTTTGCCCGCTTGCTCGGTGCAGGTTTGCTGCGGGGCTTTGGGCAGCGCTTTTCCCGGGTTAAAGCTCAAGCACTATCCCTGCAGCGCTCAGGAGGGAAATCCTCCCCTTCTCGCTCGTCCTCTTTTTCTCTTCCCAAGCAGGCTTACGTTCAAGTTTCTCCCGCAGGTCTCTTTCTCGCCCTCCCGGCAGGACTTCGCAACTTCTGCCGCGGTTCCGCTGGCCTTTTATTTGCCTTTTTTTTAAGCCCTGGGCTTCATTATTTTTTTTTTCTCCCTGTCATTTCTCATTCCCCGCAATCCACAACGACCGGGAGGTCTCTTCCCCTTGCCCGGGGGGCACGGCCGGGACCCCCGGGCGGCCAGCGCTGTTCCGCCCCCGCCGGGAGCGCCCGCGAGGCAAAGGATGGCCTAGAAATAAAGCAGCGCTTCCGAGGTGCTACATCTGCCTCTCCCCCCTGCCCGTTTTCTTACACCGCTTAGGATTTCTCCGTGTCTCTCCCAGTCCTGTACTTTCAAAAAGAAATTTTAATTTACCGCCCCAAGGCCGAGGTGTTCGCGGAGAGGCGCGGCGCTGGGCTCTCGGGGAGGGCGCGGGCTGGGGGCGAGCGCGGCGCTCCGCAGGAAATGCCGGCGCT